TATTTTCACTCCCTTATTTTTGAGGTAATTTTCTAACTTTTCGGCTTGTTCTAATCAGTTTTTAGTAGTAATGGAGGCAATTTCTCACTGGCTTCAATTTTGGAAGTAAAATAGTCCTGTGGTTGAGGTTCCTGACGGGTCTAAGGCTAATATAGGTGTTTTGGTTGTAGACATCATATAAAGGATTGATTGTTATATCTCCCCCTTTTTATTTCCAGTTTCAACTTTGTAATTCCAGTTTATAAAAGGAGTTTGGAGTTTTTTAAAGACTAATTACTAATCAGAATATAGCCTTTTGGCAAAGCCTAAAAGCCTTTTATCTAATTATGGTAAGTCTTAATTTAGCCCCAAAAGTTTTTAAGTGGAATGCTAAGAAACTTGGTAAAAAGAGTGGAGGTCGATAATGTTTTAAATTATATTTAAAGATTTTGAGAATTGGGTCAAGTTATTTATAACTTGTTTTTTTTGAGTATTATTAGTTATTTACATTATTATTAATATTAATTTATTACATGTATGTATGTTAATTTATTATATGTGTGTATGAGAGAGTTATTTATGGTTGGTTTTGATATTAGTTTTACCTTTTCCCATAAACTCCCTTATCACTTCTTTACTCTTGCTATCAGCAAAATATAATTTATCATTTTCTCAGTAATATAATAAGTCTTCTTTTAATATTGGTTCTTCTATGGGTATTTTGTATTTGGCTTTGCTATCCCTTCTTTGTTCGTTTTCCGTGTAGTATTCAGGGATATTTTTAATTTCCTCCTTATTACTGATTTCTTTATTATCTTTGCTAATGAAAAATAAAAAACCTTTTTTGGCTTGGTAGAGAATACAGTCTTGGAAAATATATTTAGGAGTAGAGCCATTGATAAACTCACACATTTTTAAGTCTTCTTCACGGGCAAAAAAGTTATTCCATAACTCTAAACAGTTTTCTAATTCACAAGAGCAAGATTTTAAGCAATTGGTGTTTTTGTAGAGGTAAAGAGTTTTATGATTGGCTGGTAGTTTTACCAAGTCATTATTTATTACTTTCTTTTTTAACTGCTCTCTACTTTTCCTAATAGTAGGTAAAAAGTCTTCTAAAAAGTAAATAAATCGGTCATAAGGGTTAGCAATATAGATTAATTTAGGTTTGGGGTCATTATCTCTATCTCTCCATGCTGAGCCTAATAATTCATCTATTTTATCTTTTTCATTCTCTAAATATTCTTCTCCTGTTTTGGGGTTAATTAGGGCTTCATCAAAAATAATATGGCTGATAGTTTGGGTGTAGTTTTCACGGGCTTTATAAGTGCTAAACAATTCGACCATAAAACATTTCATAACTCCTTTATACTTTATGCCTCAGGTGATGGCATCTCAAACTAATTCAATGTCTTTTTCTTTTAGGTTATTATCACGGCAATAATTAGCAATTACTCTTTTTCAACTTTCTAAACTTCCGGTTCGAATACTGTCAAACTGTCTTCTTAATCAGATAAATTCCTTTTGTTCTTTTTCAATTTGTTCTAATATTCAGTATTTAATTGAGTAGGTTTTGCCACTACCTCGACCAAAAATAATAATTGTCTCTTGTGATTGGTGGTTGAGTATGGTGGTTAGTCTTTGGTATCTTGGGTCTTGGTTATTCATGGGATTGGTCGATATGGCAGTCTTCACAATAACTTCCTTTCGGAGTAATCATTAAATCTTCTTCTGAAAATCATTTATGGCATTTTAAGCAAGTTAGGTTTTTTTTATTGGTGGGCATTTTGTCTTTGTTGGTAAATATTTAGTCTTTGGGTTTTAGTTTCCTGGTTAGGATAGTTAGCAACTTCTTTAATAATTATTGGTGAGTTAAATATGTCTCCTCTAACCTTTAATAATTCAGGGGGTAGATTAGAAAAAATTTCTTGGAAACATTGAATATCTACTTCATCAAGGGTTTTAACTTTATTATTTTCGTTCGTTTTGTGGGCATAGCAATAATATTCATTAGTAGTTCAATTTTCTCTTCAACAATAATTCTTTAACTCTCGTTGCTTTCTTGTCTCTCGTTTAGTTCTGGTTAAAATAGCACAGCCTTTAATATTGTTGGTGTGGCAATAATTAATAACCTTTTTTAAAATGGATAAGTAATTTTTAAAATAGGGGTCAGGTCGGTTTGGCAAGTGTTCTTCAATTTCTCTTTCGGTGATTAGGTAATTTACTTGGTAATCTTTAATAATTTGGATAATCTTATCAGCATGGAGGATAGGATTATTTTCTCTAATAGTTCCCTCCGAGGATATTTGGATTTCAGGGTATTTATATTTTCAAGCTGTAAAATAACTGCCAATATCAACAAAAAGTATTCGGGTAACTACTCCAAGGAGAGTAAAAAAAGTCATTATTTTTGACATAATTGACTAACTTCTTTACATCCCCAAATCGGTCAACTATTTTTTGGAGTGTATCATTTATGAGAATTAAGATAACGAATTAAAGTTAAGGGAGTATTAGGGGAACAAGTGGAGCAGAAGTAATAAACTTGTTCATTATAAAGTTCTATTTCGGATAATTCAGATTGAATATTTTCTTTATTTGGTTGTATTAATTTCTCTTGGGTTGTATTAATTAATTCGGTTGTATCTTTTTTTAATACAACTTTGGGAATGGTTGTATTATTTTTGATAGTTGTATTAATCTGATTTGTTTCCTTTGGTTGTATTAAATTATCAGTTGTATTATTTTCCTTGGTTTCTTTTTCGGTTGTATTAATTCCTTTACTTTTTAAATATCTTTCTTTATTCTTTTGTTGAATATAAGGCTTTCGTTTTTGATTATATTCTTTTCAGTAATTACTATCTTTAATTATTGGCATATTAGTTATTCAGGGGATTCATTATAAGGGCAGGCTCCTACTTTATGAACGATATCTCTTATTCAGATAGAGAGGATAAAACCATTATCATTAATATCAGTAATAGTGGGAGTGCCTGAGGTATCATAAAAGACTTCCCAATTATCGTTTTCTTTGTCCTGACCAGTAAAGGACTGATGGCACACTGAACACTCTAATTGGGTAATATCTAAATCAGTGTCTTGGATTTTAATTGAGGCTCCCATTATAGTAGTTGTCAATTTACTAGTCGGTAAAGGGTCATTCACTGGCTACAATTAAAGGCATAAGTTTTACCATGATATTTGGTGCTTTCAATATCCTTTCAAATTTGTTCTTGTTCGAGGGTACTTTTAAAGACCATGATTTGCTTTACTTCGGGCTTATTTTCACAAGCAATAGTTAGTTTGTAATAAAAGTCTCCGTAATGGCAACCAGTAGCACATTTATTATCGGTGGGGTTTGCTTTGGAGATAAGGCAAGTCTTTTTATGAGAATAGGCTTTGGCTTTTTGGCAATCAGTTATTTTGCCGATTAGTTTTTTTAAGTTGTTATTATTCGGGTTATTCATAGATTAGTAAAAAAATGGTTAAATTATTAGTTAAGTTCAGCAAAAATCTTAAATGGGGGTCATCGGAGTTCTCATTCATAAAGGTTCGTTAAAATGGTCTTGACAATAAAAGTCTCTTCAATGGTTCAGATAAGCATTTCGGCTTTTAATGGGGTCAGTGAAAAACGAGGGTCATAAAAATCTTTGCTTTCTTCCATATCATATTCATCAGCATAAGTGTCTAATTTATTTCAAAACTTCTTTACTGCTTCAACATTTTCAGAGCTAAAAGTAAAATTGAGAATTAACTTGGTTTGGAAATGGTGGTAAACATCTCCATTACACTTATTATCCTCTTTGGGGACATGTTCTAATTCGAGGGGAGTTTTAACGAAGGTAGCAGTCTTGGAGAGTAAAAGTAAATGGGTGATTAAGAACTCTTGGAAATCACGACAGACTTTTTTAGTTGAGGGTGGGTGTAAAGAATAAGTATGGTTGGGGTTTGCTCTGGTTAAATCTAATATTGGTTGGGAGCTTAAAGACCTAGTGCCTAGTCGGTAATGTTTCTTTTTAATGACCGGTTTTAAAGCTTGACCAATTAGTTTCTTATTAGTTCGATAAAAATAAGTAGTTTCTTTGGTTTGGTAATTGTAGTGTCTGAAAATAGTTTGTTGGGAGTTTAGATTAGTTGAAGTTAATTTATCTTGCTTGCTTTTACCTTTAATAATAACCTCCCTTTGTTCGTATTCGTAACGATTTTGATAAAAGTGGTATATTCGTTGGTGGTTATTAAATCCATGTTTTTGGTATATGGAACGGAGACAAAAAGACTTGGTGATATATTTGGCTAAATATTTACCTGCTGTTTTTTTGTCTAGGCTACGACTTTCTACTCTTCCATGGGTTCATAATTTATTTACATAAGTTCGACAATTATGGCAAGAAATAGACTTGGAGGAGTTTAAGACACATTGATGGGAGTAAGGAACGAAAGGAGAGGATAATAAGTGTCAATGTCAGTTTTGTTGACAAGGATGGGAGTGTAAGCAATTATTTTGATTATGGTCTTTTAAAGAATTAGTTTTTTGTTGGTTAGGTCAGTGGCAAGGGGTTTGGCACTTTTGAAGTTCAAAGACTACCACTCATTTTCAATTGGAGGGTTTATAAATACGATTGACATCCTTAATGAATTGTTGGAAGTCTTTTTTAATAGTTTCGAACTGTGAGGGGTCTACTGGGTAAGGAGGAATGGAAACTTTTAATGGTTCAGCATAGGGGTCAAAGTTTTGAGTTCATTTAAGCATTCAAGGTCTATCAGCATAATAATCATTATTTCAGACTGGGTCAGTGG